GAGGGGCGCCGGCCAGGCTGTTCCTGGTGCGCGGCTGCCAAGAACGATTAATTTTGAACTCAGTGATTTGGAGGACATGAAAACTTAATGTCCTCTAGGAAATTGAGAATGCAGGACTTAGAAATAGATGTAAAGATTTTAAGGTGAGAGTTTTACGAATCACTAGAACAAATGTTTTCAGAGGCTGGGAGACACCTATTTTTAGGACATGAGATAAAAAGAATCAGTAAATGAATCAGAAGGAACTATAAGAAATAAGGAGAAAAACTTCCTAAAAACTTTGTGTCAGAGAACTAGCAGATGGCACAATGGTTACATTGCTGGACTCCAACATAGTCTACTGCAGTTCGAGTCCGGGATCCAGTGGCTTAAAACTCACACCAGGTGTGTGTGCCTATTCACTCAAAATCCTGAGAGGAGACTGGAGGAGAAGGGATTGTGGCATGGCCATCCCCCCGAACCCCTCAGGGTGATTTCTCGCTTTCTGTCCATTTCTCTCTGGTGAGCACACATACTCTAGCAAAAATCTCTCTTAAAGAAAAAGCAAAAACAAAAACAAAATTGTACGTACCCAAAATCCCAAGAGAAAAGAGGAGAAGGGATTGTGATGTGGCCACCCCCCAGAAGGTGATTTCTCGCTTTCTGTCTCTCTGTCTCTGTCTCTGGGGAGCGTATGCTGCATATAGCAAACATCTCTTAAAAAATATAACTTAGTATCAAAAGAAACTAGGTAGCAGAAAGTTTCAAGGAATAAGGATGAGTGAACTTGGTGAACCAAGTGGTCACAGTTTTGGCATAAAAAGGTTGGTCTTCAAAAGTAGTTTCTTGGGGGGGAAACCAGCAGTTAGTGTAATGGCTATGTTGCTGGACTCCCATGTAGTCGACTGCGGTTTGCATCCTAGACCCGGTGGCTTAAAACTCACGCAGGGCACGTGTGCGTGCGTGCCCAAGATCCCGAGAGGAGAATGAAGGAGAAGGGATTGCGGCATGACCATCCCCCCCGGGGGGGTGATTTCTCGCTTTCTGTCTCTATGTCTCTGTCTGTCTGGCGAGCGCACGCGCCCCCCACAAAAAAAAAAAAAAAAAAAAAAGTAGTTTCTTGGGACCTGCAGTTGGCATAATGGCTATGTTGCTGGACTCCCATGTAGTTGACCATGGTTCTACTCCCCAGCCTGGTGGCTTAAACTCATGCCAGGCGCGTGTGGGTGTGTGCCCAAGATCCCAAGAGGAGAATGGAGGAGAAGGAATTGAGCCTTGGCCATTGCCCCCAGGGAGTGATTGCTCACTTTCTATCTCTCTGTCTCTCTCTGCCTTTCTGGTGAATGCACGCACCCTATAGCAAAAACCTCTCCAAAAAAAAAAAAAAAAAAGTACAGTTTATAATAATAGATATAGAAGAGAGACAGCTGAAGATTTCTAGTAAAACATATATTTAATTTATTTTTCTTAGAGTTTTGTTCAAGAGTGCGTGCACTCGCCAGAAAGAGACAGAGAGAGGGAAATTGATAAATAAATAACCCCCAAGCGGGGAGGAATGGTCAGGCTGCAATCCCTTTTTCTCCATTCTCCTCTTGGGATTTTGGACAGGCATGCACACTCACCTGGCATGGTCTACAAGCTGCTGGGTCCAGGATTTAAACTGCTATTAGCCATGTGGGAGTCCAGCATCCTAACCACTCTTCCACCTGCTGACCCCTAAAATATTTATTAATAAGTATAGGCAGTAAGTGTATATTACATTTCCAGGAGATTGGTCTCAGAAAGCAATGTGATGAATTCGATTTAAATAAAAAATATTTTTAGTGTTAGAAATACTAGAATATGCTTGATTGGTACAAGAAAAGAATCCTGTGTAGGAGAGCTTAGAGATGATAGAGGATTGGGGCTGGCCCTGGGACTAGTGTTTAAGGGAGTCATATCTCACACAGCCAACCACACAGTACGAGTCCAGGACCCGGTGGCTTGAGAAACAGCCTAGGAGCATGTACATGCCTGCCCCAAATCCCAACAGGATGGAAGAATGAAGGATAAGGATAAGGGGTGGAGGCACTTTCTCTTCTCTTTGTGACACTGTCTGTCTCTGGTGAATGCACATGCCTTCTGGCAAATAAGTAAATAAACAGAAAGAAATATTCTATATAAATGGGACTGACTAACATTCCCTATTCCCTGTCAAATGGATAGTTCCATATGCATTTAAAGCTAGAATGTTTTAGGGACCAGCAGTTAGCCTAATGGCTATATTGCTGGACTCCCATGTAGTCAACTGCAGTTTGAGTTCCGGAACCAGCAGCTTAAACTCATGCTGGGCGCGTGTGCGTGCGTGCCCAAGATCCCGAGAGGAGAATAGAGGAGAATAGAGGAGAAGGGATTGCGACGTGGCCATCCTCCTTGGGGGGGTGATTTCTCACTTTCTGTCTCTCTCTGTCTTTCTGGCGAGCGCACACGCCCTATAGCAAAAACCTCAAAAAAAAAAACTAGAATGTTTTAGAGTAGTTGCTACTTAAATTGTGTGGTATATCATCTTGTTCTGGGTATTTTCTGAGTTTTGAGGATTGTATGTTAACTTAAGTTTTGTGTGAGATATAGAGTGTCCTAGTTTGACATACTGAACTTTAAATTACTGTTTATTTTAATAATAAAAATTTTCATTTGTGAAATTTTTTTTTTTTTTTTTGGGGGGGGGGAGATTTTCACTTTTGGCCGGGTACGC